CATTGATGAGAAAGAAACACTGATCAGCTGCCTCCTGCACACCCCCTACTGGGGATGTGCCTGCAACCAAGGTACCTGCCCTTGACCGGAATCGAACCCAGGACCTTTCAGTCCACAGGCCTACGCTCTATCCACTGAGCCAAACCGGTTTGGGCTGATTGTTACATATCGATATTTGTTGTTCATAATTTTTTTCTTTATTTTCTTCCTCTTCCTAAAGAACCCCCTTCAGCAATTCATATAATTCTGGTTTGGCAGTGATGAACTCCTTTAGCTTTTTTTATTTGTGAAGCTCTTTATCTGACCTTCGATTCTGAGTGATAGCTTTGCTGGGTAGAGCATTTTTTACTGTAGGTTCTTGCTATTCATCACCTTGAATATTTCTTGCCATTCCCGTCTGGCCTGCATGGTTTCTGTTGAGAAATCAGCTGACAATCGTATGGGTGCTCCTTTATAGGTAACTACCTGCTTTTCTCTTGCTGCTTTTAATATTCTCTCTTTGTCTTTTGCTCTTGGAATTTTAATTATGATGTGTCTTGGTGTGGTCCTCTTCAGATTCCTTTTGTTTGAGGTTCTGTGCACTTCCTGGACTTATAAGTCTATTTATTTCACCAGGTGGGGGAAGTTTTCTGTCACTATTTCTTCCAGTATGTTTTCAGTATCTTGCTCTCTCTCTTCTTCTGGGACCCCCATAATTCTGATGTTGGTTCACTTGAAGTTGTCCCAGAGGTTTCTTACATTATCTTCAACTTTCTGGATTCTCTTATCTTCTTGCTTCTGTGGAGTTGTGTCCTCTGGCTCTTTATGTTCCAAATCTTTGACTTGATTCTTGTGGTCTTCCATTCTGTTTTTAGGACTCTGTATAATATTTTTTTAATTTCAGACAATGTATTCTTTATTTCTAGTTGATCCCTTTTCATATCCTCATAGGTCTCATTTATTTTATTGGCCTTTTCCAGGAAATTCTTGAAAAACCTTATAAGTGTGGTTTTGAACTCTATATCCAGTTGCTTTTTGTCTTCCATTTATTTCGTTTGTGATCTGTTTCCTTGTCTCGGCATTTTTGCAGCTTTCCTGAGTTGGTAGGGTAGCTTTGTGTGCTAAGGTGTCCTATGTGGTTCAGTGGGTCAGTCTCCCAGTTACCTGAGGTGGACACTCTTGGTGCCCTCTTTTGTGGACTGTGTGTACAGCCTTATTGTAGTTAAGTCTTGATTGTTGTGGTATCACCGGGAGGAACTGACCTCCAGGCCAATTGGCTGTGAGGATCAGCTGTGTCTATGCCAGGAGACAGCCTTATTAGACTAGTCTTGGAAAATTGCAAAAGCCTCTGTGCTCAGCTTGGATGGGGCAGAGTTTCAGGGTGGGGCCTACAGCCTTGGCTTCTTGTCAGCCCCGCCCTATGAGGCTCCTGAGTCTCAGTGTTCCTCAGGGTCCTTCGGTACTCACTGCAAGCACCTCTGAGAGAAAGTTGCCCTCGAGTTTTGCCCGCTACCAAACAGTCTAGGCTCTCCCCCAATGAGCCCGGAACTGGGGTTCAGTGCAGTTGGAAGTAAGGTTGGAAGTGGGGCTCAGAGCAGTCTGGAGCTTTTGTCTCCTTCCCACTAGGGCAATCAAGCGACACAGTCAACAGTCTGTCTTCTGCACACAACATGCGCACCTCCAGGACTAACTTTCGCTGCTCCCCTGAGTTTCCACCTTATAGCCCAGACTCCCTCCATATGAGCCTAGGTCCCCAAGGTCTCGCCCAGAACTGGGGTTCAGTACTGTCAGAACTAGGATTCAGCACAATCCAGAGCTTTTCTCTCCTTCCCGCTAAGCAATGCCAGTCAGGCACTCAGCCTCCCCCTCCTCTCCGGCTCAGTCCTCTCCCTGCACACACCGTGTCTCCGTACCTTAGGCTTTTACAGCTCCTCTGATTTTCCTTCTGGTTTTCTCTTTCCTTCTAGTTGTAGAATTTTCAGTCAGTCAACTTTCCTGTAGTTCTGGATAATGTCCATTTTGTATTTTAGTTGTATTTTTTTGAAATTGTTGTGTGAGGCTGCAGTTAGGCATTTACCTATGCCGCCATCTTGGTTTCTCTTCACTTTAAATATTGACTCCATTCTCTCTAGCCCTTTAGTCTGATCAGACGCATGTTGGGTCTTCTCGTCCTGTCCTCCGTGTCTCTCCTTCTCTTTCAGAATTTGTTAGTCTGTCTCTCTGTAATGCATTCTGGGTAATTTGCTTCAGCTGGCTTATTCTGCTTTTTAAACATTTGTTCAGTTTATTTAAATATATTTTATTGATTTCTTACAGAGAGAAAGGGAGAGAAATAGAGAGCTAGAAACGTCGATGAGAGAGAAACATCGACCAGCTGCCTCTTGCACACCCCCCACTGGGGATGTGCTGGCAACCAATGTACATGCCCTTGACCGGAATCAAACCCGGAACCTTTCAGTCCGCAGACCGACGCTCTACCACTGAGCCAGGCTGGTTTCGGCTGTTCAGTTTATTTAAATGCTTATATTTTTTCATGTATAGAAACTGCAATTTTTTTTTCCTCACAATATATTGTCAAAAGGTTCTGATTCCTGTTTTTATATTTATTTGGTTTCTATCAGCCTTACTTCCTGGAAGTCTGGATTGTTATTCTCCTACCTCAGGTCCCTGCTTGTGCTCATGAGAAGTCATTTTGTTTCCTTCTGCTGATGCAGGATTGCTTCTTATATTACTTGAGTTTGTTTTTTTTTTTTTTAAGAAGGTAGTTTCTTTTTTTTAATGTTTTATTAAATTTTTCTAGAGAGGAATGGAGAGGGAGAGAAAGAGAAGCATTGATAGTCTGCATGCCCCCTACTGGAGATCCACCTGCAACTTGGGCCTGTGCCCTGACCCAAAATCCAACCACAGACCTTTCGGTGAACAGGAGGGCAATCGATGCTCAACCAACTGAGCCACACTGGCCAGGGCTGTTTTGTAATTTTAGATGGTGAACTATCTTCAGGGTTTTGTTTTCTCTAAAATATTCTGGGTAAAAAGAATGGAAAGCTGTTTTGTGTTTGCGTCTGCCATTTGCCCCAGGGACATCACAAGCCCGGGATTTTAGGTGGGTTTCTCAGCGTGGCTGTCCTCACCAGGCAATCCAGACTGCAGACTAGCGACAGGTGCATCCTGGGATGTTACTCTATCCCAGCCAACATTTCCTTGTTGCCTTTCTGTGGTGGTGTGCAGTTTCTTATTCTTTCTTTTAAAAAAAAAAAAAAAACTGAAACATATCTCCTGTATACCTGGGGGAGACCCAGAAAATTGAGTAACTCTCCAAAATGGCCCGTTTTTCAAATTTAAATTTTATTTTTTAATTATAGTTGACATTTAAGATTATTTTGTTTTCATTTCAATTTATATAGCATAGTGGTTAGACAATCCTATACTTTACAAAGTGGTCCCTGCAACATTCCAAGTACCCACCTGGCATTATACATAGTTATTACATCACTAGAGGCCTGGTGCATGAAATCCGTGCACTCGGGGGTCCCTCAGGAGACGTCTGCCTGATGGCTAAGCGGGCCTAAGCCAGCAGTCGGACATCTTTAGCATGCTGAGGAGGCGGGAGAGGCTCCCACCACCATTGCTGTGTTTGCCATCCTTGAGCCCAGCTTCTGGCTGAGCAGCACTCCCACTGTGGGAGTGCACTGACCACCAGGGGGCAGCTCCTGCATTGAGCTTCTGCGCCCTGGTGGTCAGTGCGCATCATAACAACTGGTCGTTCTACTATTCAGTTGATTTGCATATTTGCCTTTTATTATATAGGATTAACTCTTGTCCCCAGGCTGTACTCTACATCCCCACGACTATTTTGTGACTACCAAGATGTGCTTCTTAATCCTGTCACCTTCTTCTGGTGGTGTGTAGTTCCTAGCTATTGGTTTGGGGTTCTTTAGTCCCCTCCCCTCGGGCCTCATGTTGGGGCTTTTTACTGAGATGCAGCCCTTTGAGGGTGCTGGCCTCCGTACAGTGGGCCCCCGTCCACACATGCGTGTTACCTCACGTGCATTTCCTTCAGCTGCTGCAGCAGCGCCCGCATAGACTGCCTCACGTCTGATGCCTGGGGACCCTCTTTCTTCTTACACTCAGCCACGCAGAGAGAATGTGGGGTTACATTTCACCCATCCTTTCTAGGTGTTTGTGCTGCAGAGTTTGTTTTTGCTTATTTGCTCCCTGTCTGACCCAGAAGCTCTAAGTGAATCGCTCTCGGCCTCAATTTCCTCCATAAAGTAACGGCACCTCCTCCATGGGTGTGGAATAAAGGAGATGCAATGCTTCCCGTGGGCCTGCCACACGGTAGAAACTTTGGATGTCTGGGAAAATATTTTTTTTAAATATGCTGTTCTTCCCACTGAAAATCTTGATTAGCACTTAATCTTTTCCAACCTTCATTCATATGCATATTCCCACGTTACTTATAAGACAAAAGTCCTACTGCACATGCAGATTTGCATCTGCTTATAGTCTATTGTGGGATCAGGGTGCCAGAATGGTCAGGTCCCAGCTTCTGCACGGTGCCTCCTCTGTCCCACCTGGGACGGGCGGTGGAAGTGGGAGGAGCTCTCTAGTCTCATCTTAAAGGGGCACTAATCCCATGATGACTCCCGTGACCCCATCTCACCCTAATCACCTCCCAAAGGCCTCATGCGGACACCATCACATTGGGGTTAGGGCTTCAACATAAGTCTTTGGGAGACACAGTTTAGTATGAAGCAGTAAGATTTCTCTACTAACTGCTGCCCCTGAGGTTGGAAGTTCACCTGTGGTCTTAGCAAGAATGAGTTGGTCAGATTCGCATTCTTCTCTGCCAGAGTCCGCCTGGGCAGAAAGGTGGAGGGGCCAAGCACAGTGACGTATCATGGTTGGGGCTTGGGGGATAAACTGAGTGTTTCTGCAGGAGGCCAGTCCCCATCCTGGTGGTGCCCGAGTGACCCCGTCTTCTCTGCTCTTGCCCCCGCCCCCCATCCCTCCACCTGCAGGTCACGATGGGCCTGGAGCTCTCTCCTCCGGTCACTTTCCAGCTCCGGGCAGGCTTGGGACCCGTGTTCCTCAGCGGCCAGGAATGCTATGGTGAGTCTGAGCTCGGACTCGGGGAAGGTCAGAGGGTGCACAGGGACATAATAAACACCCCAACACCGGAGGCTCCTGAGTGATTAGAGAAAATCCCAGAGGCAGCCCGATGGCTAGTAGCCTGGGCGGGAGGGCCACAGGCCCGGTTCTACCCCCAGGCCTCCTCCATCTCGCTCACTGTCCCTGCCGCGGCCCCTTGCCTCGAACATGAGCGGAGGCCTGTATCTTCAGGGAGGAGCCGTGCAGAATGGATTGGATGTTCAGGAAAGGCATTAGCAGGGGACCCAGGACTGGCACGCACTTACAATGTTCGCGTAGCCCGGCCAGTGTGGCTCAGTGTTTGAGTGTCAGCCTGTGTGCTCGGAGGTCACCATCCGATTCCAGGCTGGTGTCCATCCCCAGAAGGGGGCGCCCAAAAGGCAGCCCATCCATGATTCTCTCTCATCGTGGATGTTCCCATCTCTCTCTTCCTCTCCCTTCTTCTCTGAACTCAGTACAAATACGTATTTTTTAAGTGTTCACTCCAAGTGAAGTACGTAGCTGTGGCAGTCACACGGCCAGCAGGTCGCTGTGCGGTTGACACTTGCCATAGCCTCTCCCTGGCCTCCTCTCTGTCCAGCTGTGCCTCTGTCCTCGGGGTGCTCTCCTGTCCCCAAACCCTGGCAGTGTCCACTTCCTGCGGATAAGGCCTGAAGTCCTTAGCTGCTGCTCCGTTTCCTCCCCCGCTTCCTCTCTCTCCCCTCTCAAGTGAATCCCCCCTCTCCCTGCCCCCAGGCAGAGCCCAGCTCGCCCACCCCTGCCTCCTGTCTCCTTCCACCACCCTCTGATGGGCCCTCTGAGCTGTCCAGTCCGCTCCCCCACCTCCTCACCTCCACTCTGTCAGGGAGGCCAGGCGGGCGCTCCGCGGGGACCCCCCAGGCACCTCTCCTCTCCTGTGAGCAGAGATTCCTGAAGTCTCCTGGGAGGAAGAAGAGGGGGAGGAGGAGGATCAGTCAGAGGAGGAAGATGACGACGATGACGACGACGATGATGAAGACGTGACCCTGGAGGACTCTCCTGTCAAACAAGGCAAGAGGCTTTCGTCCCAGAAGCAGGCCAGCGTTGCCAAGGTGAGGGAGGGGACCTGGCCAGGCCCACCGGGGCTCAGGGTGCAGGAGGTGGGGGCTCGGCGGGGTCTGCTCAGTCCCTCGCCCTCACCCTCCAATGACACTTGTGTTTGGTTCCCAGAAAAAGAAAGTGGAAAAAGAAGATGAGGCGGTCAGGTAATTCTTTCCGTATCTTCACTTAGCCGAACCCTTTGGGTGAAGTATTCACTGCCAGAAAGGGCATCTGTGCCTGCTGTGCACACGCGTGTGCATGTGGACGGGTACCCGGGTATGCGGTGTCTTGCTGCAGGAGGTTGGCCCGACCTTTTTTTTTTTTTTTTTTAATATATTTTATTGATTTTTTACAGAGAGGAAGAGAGAGGGATAGAGAGAAACATCAATGAGAGAGAATTATGGATCAGCTGCCTCTTGCACACCCCCCATTGGGGATGTGTACACAACCAAGGTACATGCCCTTGACCAGAATCGAACCTGGGACCCTTCAGTCCACAGGCCGACGCTCTATCCATGGAGCCAAACCGGTTTCAGCAGCATGCCCTTTTTGAGAAGCACGAAACCGTGCTTATAATCTGACCTAATGCCCCTCATGGCAATGCCTGTCCAAGGGTCCCGGGGAGCACTGTGTGCACTGAGAAGCCCCTCGCTGATGGCTGAGCCACGGGTGGGAGCGGAGCGTTTGCTCAGTGGCCGCTGCCTGTGCCTATGAAGATCGCAACCCGGGACGTGTTGATAGAATCAACAAGACCGGGATATTAAATCCTTTTCATTGTAGTGCACATACTAGTATGTTTAGGAGGGAGAAAAAAACCCAAGAGGAAATACACCAAAATGTTAATATTGGTGGGAGGGAAACAGCATAAGCAATTTATTCTTTTCTTCGTGTGCTATTTTGTGCAACATGATCACTTTTATAACGATAAGGGCATGTTTGTAATAAATACAGGAAAGAGAGCAGATGGAAGCCTACGAAAAAGCATCTTTGTTAAAAATAAATAAATAAACAGGGAATCAGAGTGGCTCCCGGCAGGTGGCAGGTGGAGAGGAGAAATCCAGGCACAGCCCCTGCTTCCTGCTCAGCAGTGCGGGCACGGGGAGGGCCGGGCTAGGCACAGGCTGAGCTCTCTCTCTCTCTCTCTCTCTCTCTCTCTCATCCCCCCTCCCCCCCATTGCAGAGCCAGTCTTAAAGGCAAGAGCCCTGTGAACAAGGTGAGTGCATCAGAAGGGCTGGTCCTGAGAGGGGCAATGGTAATATATGTACACATATAGCACCTTAATAAAAAAAAAAAAAAAAAAAGGAAAAAAAAGAAGGGCTGGTCCTCATTGGGGGAAGTGGGGGGAGTCTCTGGGAAGGTGCCAGGACCTAGAGCCCTGCCTTCTCTCCACAGGCCAGATACACACCCAAGGGGAAAAAGCCAGTGCCCAAGAAATGAGAAGCCAGGAGTGCATGCCCCCGTGATCAGGGAGGGCCTGCCAGGCCACCGTGCACCGTGGGCCTCCCTGGGCTGCCCCGTGGGCCCAGGGAATATCCCTCCTGGCCCTCAACCTGAGTCTGGATGTGATGGAGCTGTTGAGGGGCAACACAAGAGCCCTGCACCCCAACTCTCCGGATTCAGCAGGACCTGGAGGGAAGAGCCCCAACCTCAGGGATACAATAAAGTTTGCTTTGCCAAGACCTTGTGTGTCTGCGTCTCTTCCAAGGAGCCCTGCCGTTGCCAGCTGCAGTGAGCCCTTGTGCCCAGCAGAGGGCGGCGTGTGCCACCCCATCCGCCCTGGGCGCCAGGCCCTGCCAGCTCTCTGCTCGGTCACCTCCCTCTCTTATCCTGGCACCTCTCACCGCCCATCTTTGTGGGGGGAGAAGCCAGTGTCTCAGCCCCTTACCCAGCTTTGACCTCTGCCCCTGGGCTGAGGGTGGGAGCCAGCACTACTGTGGGCCCTCCTGCGCCCACACTCCCTTCGGGCAGGCCCCGTTTTCTGGGGACAGAACTGCCTGCGGCTCCTGGTAGGAGGCAGCTCGAGAAGGACCAGCTGGTGGGACCAGCCCGAGGGTGAGCATCTGTGGGAACCTCGAGACACAAGCTGGTGCTGTTCTCCCAGGCGTGTGTCCTGCTCACTTGCGGGACGGTCTGTGCCGGGCAGGAGCCCAGAGGCCTGTCCCTTCGAGGAAACATCTCAGCTAAAACCGGAGGCTTCAGGGCAGCTGTCCAGTGTCTCCTACGGGAGGTGGACCGGTGAGCCCTGTCAGCTCCGATGCTGGGCTCCCCAGGCAGCGGAGCTGAAACCGACGGAGGATTGCCAAGGGGTGGGTGACCCTGCGTGGCTCTGGCCTCCCGCCCTCTCCCAGGCCTGCAGAGCCACCTGGCAGCCAGTTCATCCATGTGACAGGCAGATGGTCCCCAACATGGGTTATACTTGTAGGGCCCCTGCTGGGCTGCCCCCTGCCCCTCCCAGTACCTCCCCTGCTCCTCCCAGCACCTCCGCTGGCCAGGCCTTCAGTGGGCTGATGGGGGGCCGGTCCTGCCGTCTCCAAGGACCCCCAGATCTGGGTCCCAGAGGAGGGCTGTGGACACCTGCACAGAAGGCCAGCGCCCCAGCCTGGGCCTCCACGTGGCTCTGCCATTCTCCCGAGGTGGCAGAGGGCAGGCTGGCCTGCTGCTGCTTGCCGTCTGCACCCCACAGGCTGGCTGATGGGATCACAGGCCCCCACAGGAGAACGGGGCGTGAGCCTCAGATCAATCAGAATGGAAAGGCACAGCAGTTTGGGTCCGGCTCCAGGTGGGCAGCTGACATTTTCCACGGCTCCCTGCCCCGGGGATGCCAGGCACACAAGACAAAGTCCTCGCCTTCAAGTACCCTCCAGCCCCGTGGGAACAAAAGCCAACAACAGAGCATCACCCGGGGGCACAGACAGCAGCGGGTGAGGGCACGTGCTGGGGGTGGGAATGGCTGGGGAGAGGTCAATGGGGGGAAGGAGACTTATGCAATACTTCAACAATAAAGCATTTAAATTTTAAAAAATTATAAAAAGCCAACAACTTAATTTCAATCACTTTCAAGTGCACTGGAGGAAGTGGAACGGGCTGCTGTCCAGGGTGGAGGAGTGCTGAGTGAGGAGATCTGAGGCTGCTGAGAGGGAGCAGTGGGCAGGAAGGGGCCGGCCAGCCACGGGAGGAGCTGGCAGGACAGTCCCGGGAGCAGGAACAGGGAGTGCGAAGGGCCTGCGCCAGAGCAGGCGTGGTGGTCTGGCCAGAAAGGAGATGGACGAGATTGGGGCGATGACCCTGTGGGCAGGGCACCGCTCTGTCTTACAGGCCTCGCTCCTTTAGTTCTCACAGCCCTGCCTGGGGTGGGTGCAATGAGCCCCATCCTCAGGTGCGGAGAGTGAGGCACAGGGCTGTTCAGCAAACGTGGCCCAAGGTCACAGAGCTGGCGGAGGAGCCAGGATTCATCCCAGGTGATCTGGCCCCAGAGCCCTTGTCTTTAGCCATCCTGTGGATGCGAGGCAGGGGCAGGCAGCACCTGGCACTGGTCAAACGTCTCATAAACTCCCTGACCCGTTTGGCTCAGTGGATAGAGCGTCGGCCTGCGGACTCAAGGGTCCCAGATTCGATTCAGGTCAAGGACATGTACCTTGGTTGCGGGCACATCCCCAGTAGGGGGAGTGCAGGAGGCAGCTGATCGATGTTTCTCTCTCATTGATGTTTCTGACTCTCTCTTTCCCTTCCTCTCTGCAAAAAAGAATCAAATATATATATATATATATATATATATATATATATATATATATATATATTTTTTTTTTTTTTTTAAATAAAAATAAAGCCGAAACCGCTTTGGCTCGGTGGATAGAGCGTCGGTCGAAGGACGGAAGGGTCCTGGGTTCGATTCTGGACAAGGGCATGTGCCTTGGTTGCGGGCACATCCCCGATAGGGGGTGTGCAGGAGGCAGCTGGTCGATGTTTCTCTTTCATCCATGTTTCTAACTCTCTATCCCTCTCCCTTCCTCTCTGTAAAAAACTCAATAAAATATATATTTTTAAAATAAAATAAGAAAAAATAAACATAAAGAAGTCTCATAAACTGGGAGCAGGAGCCAGCACTGAGCTCGAATGCCTGCGACACTGCCGCCCCAGGAGGGGCGGCACCCAGCACGCAGGGACCTCTCCCCCGTCCTCAAGCTCCGCCTCGGGCCTGTGCACAAGGGCACTCAACAGCTGCCCTGCTGCTAACTTGACTTCCCCGTGGGGCGGGCACTAGGGGTCACCGTGCAAAGATGGGGTCTACCTGCACTGCTGAGGGCCCTCCCTGCCTCCCCGCCCGCAGCCCTAGCTCCTGGGGATCTCCGCAGGAAAAGTGTGGGCTGGGTCCAAGCAGAAGGCAGGCCGCTGGCAGGTCTGCAGGTGGGCTCCGGGCGCTGTGTCTGCACCAGCAGGGCTGCTAGGACCAACAGGTGTGAGACACCCCAGCTGGGGGCTCGAACTTGTCACTGGGGAGTGAGGATAAACCACTGTGCAGCCCAGGCTGCTTTCTCACCTCCCCTGTCACCTCCTGCTGCACACCCCCCCCCAAATGTTAATGACCCATCCCTTTCTCCCTCCTCCCGGCTTCCTCTGGTCAAGGGAGGAAGTCAGGCAAAGTTGAGGTACACTGAGTCTGGACCACATAAGAGAGTCTCTTTCCCCTCCCCCCATTCTTTTTTTTTAAATTTTTATATTTCATTGATTTTTTACAGAGAGGAAAGGAGAGGGATAGAGAGTTAGAAACATCGATGAGAGAGAATCATCGATCAGCTGTCTCTTGCACAACCCCTACTGGGGATGTGCCTGCAACCAAGGTACATGCCCTTGACTGGAATCGAACCTGGGACCTTTCAGTCCACAGGCCGACGCTCTATCCACTGAGCCAAACCGGTTTCTGCGAGCCTTTCTAATTTTAACGTCTTCCCATTTTATTCCAGCCCTGGGCTTGGCCAGCTTTGCGGGGCTGGGGCTCCACCACCCCCCCCCCAGGCCAGCTCAGGCCGGTGGGCTCCCTGGTGCTGAGGGGGACGGGGCGGAGGGTCCCTGTTGTCTGGGGGCAGGGATGGCAGACGGCTTTGTGGATTGACGTGGCTGGGGAAGGTGAGAAGGCCTGGAGGTGAGAGCTCTGCCCTCCCACTCATCTCTTCAGGTAAATAAACCCACCCCCAGCTTTCTCTTCTCTTCCCGGCCTGGGGCACACAGACCCCCAGGAGCCACGCTGAGTGTGAGTGAAGGAGGGGCTTCCCCAGGACCAGCCCCCCACCCCCACCTCCTACGAGAGGAAAAGGGAGACTGGCTATTGGGGCGCGCTGGGCTGGGCTGGTCCCGGCAGAGATGCAGACAGAGTGAACTTGGGAAACCTGGTCCCCATTCACTGGCTGGTGTGAGGCCAGCGGGCGGGTGACATGGCTGCGGGCTCCCTCCCAGGTGCCGGGGCTCCAGGACTGGCTGCTGCCCTAGGGGGTGGCATGTGATGGGCCTCCTGATGCCCACTAGGTATCTCTTTGGGTCCTGCAACACCCGAGCCTCACAGTCCCCATCTCTCAGAGGAAGCTGCCCACGCCCAGCAGCCAGTTATCATCCCCCCTCAGGGCCAGCTTTCGGGACTCCATGGGGGTCCTCCCCAGCCCCAGCTGCCCCTTCCTCCCCACCCCTGGCCCCAAGCTGTTGCACCCACTCATTGCTGCCAGTCGGGACGTCACCCCTCCTTCCGTGGCCAGACTGCAGGGAGGGGGGCCAGGAGCCAGGCAGAGGCAGCGCAGTCCTGGCCCCCCGCCCCCCACCCCTGCCCTGCAGGGAGGCTCCCCCTCTGAGGCTGCTCCCCGGAGCTCCCCGTCCCCACCGCCTCAGACAGATACCCGCTGCTCACCCCAGGGGAGTGGGCACCAAACCCGGGCGGGCGGGAGAAGCTGGCCACAGAGGAGAGGAGGGGCACTCCGTTGGGGTCGGAGCCCCCAGGGCCAGCCTCCTATTGAGGAGGCTCCAGCAGCCCCATCCTCTGCCCGGGGAGCCCCGGAGGTTGGCAGCCCCAGCGGCGGCGGTGGCTGCTTCGCAGTCTCACTGGCCGGGAAGGTGGACACATCACACCTCAGTCTCCCAATTACGCCCTCCTCCCCCTCCCCTCCCCCTCCTCCTCCCCTCTCTCCTCCCTTCCCCTGTCTCTCCTCCTCTCCCCCCTGAAAACCTGTGGCGTGGAGAGACCTCGGCTTCTCTGAGGCTCTACCCCGGGGACTGCCCGCATCTCCTCCGAGTCTGGGGGCCGGGGGGTCACGGCCCCACGGAACCGCTCCTCCAGCGATGGAAGCCGCCCGCCTGCTGCCCAACTTCACTCTGTAAGTGCCGGCCCTTCCCCTCCCGACGGGACGGGAGTTCCGTGCCCTCCCCGGCCTCTGGGGGACAGGGCTCCCACACGG